TCAAGCCAGCGAAAGACTACTTCCTCAACTTCAATTGTCAAACTAGATGTTGTGGTGTCATATGCCAGGCTTCGTTACACTAAGCGACGTCCATTTACTTTTGCCAAGAACCCACATGAGCTTTGTCTGCCTCTCATCACAATAGCCATCTGTATAGATTATTACAACACCTGAGCAGAAATGTTCAAGAATCACCCCGCCCCCCCCCCTTTTCCACCCCAGTCTTTCCGGCAAAGGCTGGGATTTTTTCACTTGGACTTCTAGTAATTTCCCATGGTCTCTGGTAGTGAGATCGGACGCCCGTGTGTATTGTTGCGCACGTAAAAAATCTCTTGGCAGTTGGAAATCGAAAAGAGTAGCCTACTGCACTGCGCGGGCCAAACTTGGAGTTAAAAATCTACCCAAAAAATTTCAGGATCCACGCCGGTGCTACGGAGCCCATGTACTGCGTTGAACTACTTCGGACTCAGACTTGAGTTAGAAGTAGAAAGGAGCACTTATGGGTTACTACCCGTGTGCCATGATGGTGTTCGACTGTTCAAAAACCTCAAAACCTCAAACCTCCTTGGATTTTGAACTTGAAACTACTTTGCTTTGCAATATTAATGACGTTTACAATAGCGTTTACAATAGCGTTTACAATAGCAATATGTGTTTGTGTGATATACTGTTTTTTCTTCTTTCTCTCCTGTAGTTTTTTAAAACTATGTTTAGTATATTCTCCACTGTCTTAAGCTTGTTATAGTGTGTCATACATTCACTTAGGGTAAACAGTACATTGCGAAAGCAGTGATTTACACATCTTCTTCTCTGCGTTCGGTTTCGTCGGTTCAGGTAAAATCGTCAGATGGGCTGGCTCTATGAATTCGCATGACAGTTGATGGTCGGCATTTCGTGGTTTCCCATAGCTTGCTCTGCTCCCGAGGCCACATCTTCCTTTGGTGCTTAAGTATAGTAATCAGTCCTGCAGAATGTGCTCAGGTGTTTGTGGTCCCATCTGAGCTGACACGCACACTGTGGGGACTGTACAGTCTTTACTGTATGCATGTGGTAGTTGAGCCCGTAGTGTTATGTTCTTAGACAAAAGAATTTTGTAAACTGAGTAGTGAACTGACGCATGTTTTGTAAATGAGTCTGCTGATGAGGTCTATTGGGGGAAAACAAGAATAGACTCACTGCCTGTCAAAAAGCCTATCGTAAGGGTCGACTTTTTTGGAGCTTCCTTCGAACGTTTGCTTGAGAGGCAAGGAACCAACATGCAAATGAGTCAGACCTGGAAAACTTATGTGCACGCAACACTCAGTTTCTGAAACATGAGTCCAGAAGTGGACGAACAATCAGAAGATTTCGCCGGAGTTTACAGCTGGTGAACAAGAAGAAGAAGGTTTGTTCTATCTTCCATGTGTTTCCCCCTCATAAGTGATTTCATATATGATAAGGACAATAAATGGGCGTCGTTCCATTTTTTTGTCAAGTCTGTCCGCCAACTACTTTCCTGGCATACCGCAGTAGGCCGGGATCCATTGGAGAGCGATCTGATTTTCGCTTCTTCTGCGAGCCTAGCTGGCAGGTCAGCATATGAAGTGTAATATATCTTAAGGCTGAATATTGGTAAAATAGATCACTTTAAATATTCCCAAAGATAAATTATGCATATGATTATAAGAATTATTAAAACACACACACACACACACCTAAAATATATCACGCTTAAAAATGTATTCTGCTACAGCATTTCACAAATGATTCATATGAAATATTAAATAAACAAAAGTAATCGACAAGCATAAATATCCAACACTGAAAATAAAAAAAAAAGTATAGGCCTATATCCCAAGTATAACACAGATGGGTTGAACAGGAAATCTCTCGCCCCCCCCCCCCCCACTTTTACTTCAGTATTAGTATCGATCCCATAAGAATTACTTATTTCTTAAGCTGAAGGGATACACAATGAGAGAATTATTGTTCAAAAGCTAAATGGATACACCATAAGAGAGTTATTGTTAAAAAAGCTGAAGATACACAATGGGAGAATTAGTGAAGCGAGACGCCACGAAGGAGATAATCATCGTTCCCTAGGTGAAGAGAAACGCCATGAAAAAGAAGCATCGTATCAAGAGAGACACCGTGGGAAAGAGTCATCGCTTCAAAAGCTGGAGAGAGACACCAGGAGGGAGAAAATCATAGTTCCCTAAGCTGAAGAGATACTATGTGAGAGAGAGAGAGAGAGAGAGAGAGAGAGAGAGAGAGAGAGAGAGAGAGAGAGAGAATCTTTGTTCTACAAACCGAAGAAAGATGCAGTGTACCTATGTGTGTGTGTGAGAGAGAGAGAGCGAGTGTATATAAGGAGGGATTTTCGTTTCCCAAGCTGAAGAGAGACACACCAAGAGAGAGAAAAATCATCGTTTCCCAAGTTGACAGACACTATGAGAAATAGAATCACCGCTCTTCAATGTAAAGATAGGCATCACGAGGGAGAGAATCACCGTTTCTCAAGTTCCACGAGAAAGAACCATCGTTCCCAAAGCTGAAAAGACACCCTGAGGGAGAGAATCGTCGTTCCCCGAGCTAAAGTGAGACAGAAAGAAACTGCTCCGTGCCTGGGCGCCCGGATGTAGCCAGGCTCAGCCGTCATTCCCACAATTCTCCACGAAAGATGTGCTTCTGTGGCGCAGTGCAATGGTTGACCTAGCCAACTCCGACCACCCGCCAGACAAAGTCAAATCTTTCACGATTCTCCTTCACTCCTAGACAACTTCAAGTGAGCAGAACTTTACAAAGTACAGTTGCCGTCATTAAGAAATAACCTGCATCATGTTTGGTGTCAAGACATTTCTAAAATTGAAGATGTTAGGGCTCGCAAATTGTGCAGTCAGTAGAGTAGATTTTAATTTCCGTTCGGTTTGTGATTGTATTTGTAGTATTTATAAATCTAGCTGATTTCTTATTCTTACGTTTAAACATTTGTTATTATGTGGTTAAACGGGAGCAGGAGTCTCAGCTGCTTGTTCACAAAAGGAACTAGAAGTAGTATTTGGAGAATTGTGGCTTGTGGAGTTTCAGTTTCTTGAAATTCTTGTCATTATCCATACAGCAGCAGTCATAACAAATGTGAGCGAGCAGGTAGAGAATAGAGGATTGGCCGCTGAACTCCGCCACGCCACTGTTTCATTGACATGTTTGTTAATGACGCTACTTCTAGCCTAATCTGTTCACAAGCCTAAGATATTTTAAAATCCAGCTGTGTTAAAATGACTGACATGCCACTATTTCTTTTTTGGATGCACAGAGTAAAGCTCTATACTATTTACTATAACTCACCAAATATTTCCTGTGTACTTTGTTGTGTTTATTTTAAGATCTTTATTTTTCTTCTTCTTCTTCTTCTTCTTCTTCTTCTTCTTCTTCTTCTTCTTCGTCTTCTTCTTCTTCTTCTGCATATGATGTAATGTAGTTTCTGATGCCAAGTCAGTGTGAATGTATATAATGTAAAGAAAGCAGCAATCAACTTGAGGTTGTTTACAATAACAAAGCATCTAGCAAATGGGTTAGACTAGAATAATTAATGTTTCTCCACGTATGTTTTGGGCACTCTTGCACCTGTACTGGGACTGCAACTTGGAGTGGCTTTATCACTATAACAGAAGACATTTGTTTCTGAATGACAGAAGCTTGGGCAGATAGAAAACATGCTCGGTGTAGACAGCTCTATAGAAGGATTAAACAGTACATAATAAGAACAAAGGTTTGCATGTAAAATGTTGATATATCTTAACTCTTTCAGTCCCAAACAACGTGTGATGTGTGATTAGCCCTTTCAGTTAATTCCACCCAAAATGTAATATGTTCTAGTCCTTCTCATAGTTGGTCACAGTATACCAAGAAATCTGGCTTCCCCAGTGTTTAGATCTTTGAAAGCAGTACATTCATGGCTTTTCCTGTTGCTTATTTATACATATGGAAATCTCTGGTAAAACCTTCTGGTACTGAAAGAGTTAAGACAGAATTATGATATTCTAGATCAGTAGAGAAGGTAACAAAAAGATGGACAGAGTAAATAAAAGAGCTATATCATGGTAGCAATGGACCAGACTTAGAGAGTCATGAGTATTGTACTATTGGAAAGGACCCCCTCTCCCCCAATACTGAAATTGTGAAAGCAGAAGTAGGAAGATGCTTGACACCACTTGAAGAAATGTAAATCTTCAAGCCAGACATCATCACTGTTGAAGAATTAAAAGCTGATGGTGAACAGGGTCTAGAAGTGTTGACTGAATTGTTTAAGAATATTTATAACAGTGGCTATATACCTGAAGACCTTTTGAAATCTCTTTTCATACCTGTATTAAAAACACCTGGTGCAGTGGAATGTAAAGAACATCAAACAGTTAGTTTAATGAGTCATGTAACCAAAATATTAATAAGAATTATGAGAAGAATAACACGCAAAATAAAACCAGAAATTGGAGAAAAGCAGTGTAGTTTTGTTGAAGTTAAAGGCACAAACAACACCATATTTTTCTTGAGAATACTTTTGGAAAAGAAGGGATTAAAATGAACAGAGATCTTTATGTGTGCTTTATTGATTACACTTCCGGGTGAAAGCATTTGTGAACTTTACTCTTGTTTCAGAAGTTTCAGTTTTACCTGCTTATCCATTTTACATACCTGGCTTCTTTGTGTGCAGACTATTGGTTCCCTCACCTCTAAGATGCATTCCAGATCAAAGACAACTCCTCCAATTAGTCACATTGTACAGCATGCTCGTTAGGGAGGCAGTGGGTCTTTTCTTGACCCACCCCTGAATGGGGCCCCGAGACCCATACAGGAGAATAACATAAGGATATAATACTATTATCTGGAAAGATACAACTGTACCAGCAACAAAATAAATAACTTCCAAATATAAGAAGATAATTTTTGTCTGTTGAGAAATGTTTATTTTCAGATTTAATGTACTAAATCAATTTTGTTTTGATTTTTTAGATTGAATAACAATGGCTGACAAGGATGCTGATGGTGCTAAACTGGATATTTCTCTCTTGAGAACTCCCATCCAGATCAGTGGGAAGCCTATAGAACAAGTTCTCAACAGCATTCATTATGGCAGCCCGGAGCTGAGGTGTCTGCTTATGGACGAGTGTGATCTCATTTTTGAGTGCAAAGTCTGCAGGGCCCTTTTCCGAGATTTGCCCAACTTTGTTTCCCACAAAAGAGCATACTGCACCAAGTCAGCTTTGGAGACCCGGCACGTGACCATTGCTGGGCTCCCAGAGGAAAAAGTTGTGGTCATCCAGCCTCAGGCTCCTGAGGAAACCAGCAGTGGATTACCGTCAATATCGCAGCAGCCGAAGTCGGCTCGACCAAGTTTGGAACAGACTATAATGAGGATACAGTCAGGAGAGCTAGGTAGATCTGAAGCCTATCAAGTTTACACAGAAGCTGCAGAAAAGCTTCAGAGGCAAAAGGAGGGCATGAAAGTAGCCACAATTAGAACTACTGCTATTCCTACAAATAAAAATGCAGTGTTTATTGATGTCAATATGGCATCGGTGAACATTCATGAAAGACAGCAACAGGTCAATAATGGAAATAATTCTGGGTATGATCAAAAGCGAAATGACAGTTCTGTCACTGTGATAAAACGTAAAACTGGAGAACGACAAAGCAACACACGGAATGTACGTAAGTCAGCTAAACAAGAGAGACAGTCCTCAGAGCCACAGAAACTGCTCATGGAACAGCTGAAGGAGATTCAGCACAAAGTCAAGCAGAAAGTGGCTGCAGCTCAAGATAAAACAGCTCAGCAGAAGAAGGTAAAGAATGCATCTCAGAACGCCAGCTCGCAGAAAGACGCTGTATCTCCAGCAATAACTGACAGCTCACAGAAGACACTTTCTAATACAAATACAACACGAGCTCAGAAGAAACTCGCTGACTGTTCTGGCTTGAAAGTGTTGTCCAGTGATAATGTACAGTCTACTGCAGCTAGTGATGAAGAAGCAAAGAGTAATGTTAAAGATGAATCAGATCTCAAAGAGGTAAAATATGCTCTGGTCAAAAATAAAGTTGATAACAAAATTCGTTTAAAAGCTGCTAAAGAAAATAAATTGCTTACAGCACTTGCAGTCACTGCATCCACAAGGAGGAAGAAACTATCTAAGAGAGTCCCAGTTTGCTCAAAATGTGACTCAGTTTTTGCAACAACTAAAAGTTTGCACTATCATGAACAAATTCACCATTCAGGCAAGCGAACATTTTACCCGTGTCCTTATTGTTCAAGTGTGTTCTACTACTTCTTTGGAATCACAAGGCATTTGTTCAGAAACCACTCCAAGTCGCTTGATGAAATTAATGCCATGCGAAGTCAGCTGCGAGAAAGATCATTTACTAAACCATTGTCCACATCTTCTTGCGCTAAAGAAGTAGGAGGAAGTAGCCCAGGCAGTGGCAGAAGTACTAGGTCCTTAGGGAGAAGTCATCTCTTAAATCTATCTCCGGATACATCCAATCCTGCTGAAACATCAGCACTCGGCGACAAACAGCTGTACAAGAAACTCAGTGGAGATGCCGGGGACATCACAGAAGCACCTTCAAAAATTGCCAGGCACAAAATTCAACAGGAAAACAGTACTCATAAGGAGCATCTAATCTCACCAAAAATTTCAACATTGAAGACAGAAAATGCTGTCAGTGCCAAAGAAGACAGAGGGGAGCCTCGCCCAATGAGGCATAAAAACAGACAGCAGCGAGGACTTGGCGATAACATTAGGAAGTCTGGTAAAACTGATAATTTAATTGGTTCACCTTTAGGAGTAAGCACACCTGTGTCTTCATCTCCTATCGTATCTAGATCCCAAGACAACCTGTCTCATCTATGCCCTAAATGTCACCGTGCTTTTCGCCGTAAAATCAGCTGTAAAAATCATATTAAGGTTTGCAAAGCTAAAGGTGGCAGTGCTAAAAAACCAGCCAGGACTCCAAATACAAGACATAAAGATCAGGGGTTAACTCCAGATTCTGACCCTTTTAACAGTAACAAGCATACAAAGATGAAGAACAAAAACAAAACAAGTGGCCATGATTCTACAGACAAGGTCATCAAGGTCACATCTGATAGTCAGTCTCAATCCCCAGTGAAAATTCCAGAAAAGAAAGATGAACGTTTAGACATTTTTCAGGATGAATATAGTGAAAGAAAAACCAGCTTAAGAAACAGCCAGGTTTCTTCCATGGACAGAACAAGAAATCTTGGGCCGCATCGATCTTCAAGTGTTGACAGAGTGGTTACAAGTGACGAGCCTCGTAACAGGAGTCGGGAAAGGAACTCCGCTACAAGAGATGAAAGGGATTCATCGGTAGAAAGCACACAGAGTAACATGGAAGGCAAGAGCCCACGAAGCAGCAGGAATGTTGTTTCAAGATATGCTGCTCTGGCTCAGCTGTCAAAATCTCCCTCGAAGCTGGAGACTTCAATAAAATCTGACAAAAGTCACGAAAGTTATGAAAAGGTCTCAGACAGTCAACAGGTAGAGGTAAGTGAAAATAGTTCAGAAGCAGGGAGGACATTTCTGCATAATGGCAGAGAGAAGACACCAGGGGATGATATCTGTGTTGAAACTCTCAAGAGTGAGATAAGATCAAAAGAAGCTTCAGAGGAAAAGAGTTTGAGTGTGCCATCGACAGCTCCAAAAACCAGACCAACTACATTTAGAAGTGACATTATCAAAAGCATTATTGATCAGAGACCTTCCGCTGAAAATGATACCAAAGACAATGACGAAATAGATCATGAGGCGATATTGGCTGAGATATCCTTGCCGTCATCAGTTTTGACAAATGGGTCTCCGGAGAAACAACAGAACTCACAATATACCGGTTATAAAACTTCTCCAGAAGCCGGCTTATCTTCTGCCCATCAACCACCTGATTCTGGAGATAAGTCAGGTTTATTGTCTGACCTGTCTTCAGACTCATGTAGAGTTGAAGCCACAGAGAACATTTGTGATGTGTCTTCCAGTGCTGGGGCATCTGCAATGGAGGACACAAGAGCAGACAAATCAGAAGCAGAGTTAGGTGACCCTGCTATAAAGTCAGATGAAATCAAACTGGATACTGTAGATCCAGAATCCACACAGGATACCAGCATGGATGTAATGATAAATGCTGGAGAAAAATTAGATACAGCAGGTTCTGAACATAAGGTAACAGAAAATACCCAGAGCATGGAAGATGTACAATTAAATGTTGCAGAATCCAGCAGAAAGTCTGCAGAAGATGATCCTGACATGCAGCAGAATGTACAGTTAGATATTCCAGATTATAAGCATGAAACCTCAGAGTCTTCAGTGGAGATGGAACCCGCAGTGCAAGCCCAGGTTGAGGAAAGATTACCTGAAATATTGCAGGATGAAAGTAGCATCAAAGCTCTACACTTGACTAAACAAGAGGATAAACCACTTGACCCTGAGAAAACAGAAGTCACTGCACAGAAGCTTGCAGTCTCTGAAATCAGAAACAATTCTGGGAATTCCGAAAATTGTAAAAATAAGCCAGGCAGTTCAAAGAGTAAAGCTATCAAGCAACAAAACTTGCCACCAGTTGCAGTAGTTAGTGCATTATCTGAAAGACCAAAGAGAAAAAGGAAAGTTCCTAACAGAAATAAAGATGCAGAAGAAATGCTTTCGAAGATACATAACCACAACAGAGATGTTGCTCCTGTTAAAAAGACAAAGATAACTCATGAAATAAAAGCAAATGAATCACCTAAAAAGAAATTAAAAGTTGAAACTGCAAAGACTGAAACATCTACAGTGGCAGTGCATGAAAAAAATGTTCCTGTTAAAGATGAGCTGGCAACTCCTACTAAGAACAGAAGATTATATAAAAAAGATGAGAGTCTTGAGCTGGAGTGTGCAGTTGATGACAGTGATGAGCTGTTTGGCAAAGCCAAAGGAAGATTTGTCAGTAACCGAATGTATGTCTTGAAGTGTGGTTCTAAAAATAAACGACTCAAATGTTTTGACCAAACAAAAGTGTTCAGACTGATCGATGAAGAGCAGCTGAAGTGTCTGGAATGTGGTGAGTTCTGCTCCCAAGTCTGCAATCTCAGAAGACATGTTATCAGGCAGCATTTGAAATGGAGTCGGTTCAAGTGTAAGCTGTGCAAGTTTGAGAGCTATGACAGGTCAGAGTGCGCGACCCACTTAATTCGGGGTCACAAAAACAGGGCCATTACCTTGAGAAATGTGAATAAGTTTATCCTGGATATAGTCAGGCAGGGTTCTCTTGCCAGGAGTGTGAAAAAGAAGGAGTCCACAAAGGTGAAACAAAAGTCCGAAAGCCGAGAAGAAAATATCTACGTACGACCTACTGTTAAAAAGACACTTCATTTGCCACAGACACCTGAAGATGAGATTTTACACAGATCTGCCATTGAGGAGAGCTCCGGAAATAGAGCGATTAAAAGTGATAAGGAACAGCCATGGGTGGGGACCTCAGTAGAGCTTATACCCATGGCGAACTCATCAGAAAGCATACATTCTGTTGCCACAAAGAACCAAAACAGCTTGTTGACTTTATCACCAAAAGTTGAAACTCAGGCCAAACAGCTTATCCAGCAGCATATATCTTCAAAAGCGGGACTGGAGACTGCAGGAAAAGTCACACGTAAAACTCTACCCTTCAACATATCTACCAGAAACTCACCCCGAACATTTGACACAACTCCTTACAATGCCGTCAGTGATGGTGCCGCTGCTGAAGCAGAAGCCAGCCTTTTCAAACAAAAATTTCAGCCAGTAATAGGCAAGATAAGTATTCATCAAGAGACTGTATCACCTCCAGGGAAAATTGAAGCTGAAAGAGTCTCTGGACAAAAGTTTCAGCCAGCAACAGGCAAGATTCAAGAAAACAATATATTACCATCACGAAAACCTTTACAGAAAACAAGTGCTAGAAGTAATGGTAGTTTGCATAAAGATTTAGTGAAATCTGGCACTGGATTTGTGAGCCCAGCATTAGTTGAAGCCTCTAGTACAGACACAGTTCAGAAATCTAGAAATATTTTTGAACATATAAAACTACAGACAACATCTTCTGCATCAGCTGTTAGTTCTGTTGTGACTACAGCTTTAACAGTGTCCGAACCTGCACCCTCAGGCTGCCAGGAGCTGACTGTTACTAGCAGTCTTCATCAAAATCCTTCCCCACGGATAGTTGAGGTTAAAGTTGAAAATCCAAAGAACGTTACTATTTCAAGTGGCCAGGTTTTGAGTCAGGTACTTGATTCATCTCATAAAAAGGGAACCAGTCCGAAAACAGAGAAACCAAAAGTTGTCAGTTATGTTTTTCAAAGTCCTCAGCCAAAATTGTCGAATTCTTCAGGCAATACAGTAAATTCAGACACACTAGGAAAATTTTTGATAAAGTCTGGCGATCAAGTAAGCTTACCTGGCACAAGCCGGTCACCTCCACAGCCAGTTACTAAACTAAATATACAACCTGGCACAAGCCTGTCACCTCCACAGCCAGTTACTAAACTAAATATACAACCTGGGAAGTTTACCTCGGCGCAGGTTATTGACTGCGCAAACCTTCAACGCAAACACATGTCGGTTCCATCACTGTCTTCAAGTGCTGCAAAAATTACACCTGCGGATAATCTGAAAGTTACACCAAGAGTTTCTGGTACATCCAAAGAGACAGCAGCATCTTCTTCAGGCCTCTCTTTGGCAGCTGCACTAACAAAAGGTGGCCATATTTTTACAACTGTAGCTACATCATTCATAGTCAATCATGGACAGGCAGGGAAGTTCATCGTCTACACTCGACCAGCTGGTGCTAAAGACTCAACAACCGTTAGCTCAGTGACAAAACAATCACCAGTGACATCATCATTACCACTGGTATCGTCACCTTCAGTAGCAGCAGACGTTCAGACCTCGGAGGCTAACCTTCAAAAAGATTCTCAGAGTCAGGGTTCTGTAGTGGAAGATGTGTTGTCTCCAGGAACTTTTGTTATCCGTAAACATTATCTGTAACATTTCTGATGTCAACTGTCACACATCAGATATCGCTATGATTTCTGCCAGTTAACTTTCACTTAAAAGGAACATATGTTGTTTTCAGTTATCTTAAATATGTTTGGTCTGGCATTGTTAACTTTCAAATACCACATGTCCAACATTTTTATTCTGATAACATTCAGTGTTCATAAAGTTTCACATAAAAATGTGTCCAGATCCGCTGTACAAATTTAAAGGGTCTGTGATTGTGAAATTGTGACACACACTGGAAAGGTATCTTCTTCTTCTTCAGCATTCCGAACCCTTGAGGTCCATTGCTGCAGATATCACCCGCCTCCATTCATCTCTCTGTTTGGCCTTCTCTTTCCAGTTGGTGACATTAAGTGTTTGCAGGTCTGTCTGAAAATTATCTCTCTATCGTCTTCTTGGTCTGCCTTGTGGTCTACGACCATTCATCTCCCATATGTGTATACCATTTTCACTTCTCTGTCATTCTTTCAATATGCCCCAACCATTTCAGTCTTTTAGCTTTCATGATGCCAGTTTTCAATGGTGACTTAAACAGACTGGCAAGACTTCAGCAGCTTTTAATAGCTTGAACAAAACATGGAACTGACTGTAAAATGTTATAGTTTTAAAACCAAGTTACATATTTTCAGTTCTAATATTGTTTCAGTTTTAACATATGCACGTGAAAGTTGTAGAACCAGTAAAGACATGGAACGAAAGTTAAATGCATTCAAAAACAAATATGTGAGGAAAATGGTTAAAATAAAATGGGGTGAATTCAAAATGAGTGATGAAATGAAAGAAATGTCTGGGCATCCACTTGTATAAACAGTTATAAGACAAAGATGGTGCTACATTGGAAACTTCCTGATAAGAAACCAGCATAGAATCACCAAACAGGCATTAAAATGGGAAAACAAAAGAGATCAAGGGGGCGGTGACACCCACAAGAAACCCTAATGCGAATGCTGATGAGGGAGGCCAAATCTGCTGGACTAGGTTCCATCTATGATTTTGACTGATTGCACAGCATAGAACTGAATGGAGGAATAGACTGCGAGCATATAGTGACACAGCAGGACAGGTTAATGAATGATATCATTGGGAAAAGGGGGAGGGTGTGGTAGAGAAGAAACTCTCAATTCCCATTTTCTCATTCTAAATGGATTTACTTTTTTTAATATGACTATTTAAAGCTATGGGTTTGTGATAGGGCTTCCAAAATAAGAGTGGGCTCGCAGATCTGATCCTTTTGAGAGCCACTGAAATAGAATGTTAAATGAAAAGAAGTCAGAATGAATGAGTATAAGTGTCCAAAAAACAAAAACAAATTTAGTAACTATGCACCCGAAAATGATAAGTATGTGCTCCAACACTGTAAACTGTATGCTGACAACAGAGACGCAATCTGGCCTGTTCCAACCACAATGAAGACAAAACTGTATGGTACACTAGAAGATATGAACTGCTTGATAGCTTTCAGAAAGGCTACCGGCCTCCTGATATAAGTTTTCTGGCAGAAGGATCGAAGAAGAAGAAGTTAGTTAGCCAAGAGATTATTCTCACTGCACATCAAACCAGAATGTTCAGATCTCCTCCTTAGTAAATGTCAAAGCGTGTAGCGACTCATGACGTCAGTTCTGTGTTGTTTTCTTTTCTTCTTTGGCTTCCTGCATGGTGCTTTTTTTCTGGCCACACCCCTTTCAACATGCTGTTTTTGCAGTCTGGTCATGGTTGCAGATTCAGTCATCACTTGGTTCTCACAGATGTCTTACTTCTCATAGAGCGTTTAGTTTCTCAGCATGGTCCATAGCACGTCTGCACACCTGCCATGGTTGTTTTGCCTGCATGCCTATCAGCTTGCTCATTTCCTTGCATTCCTGTGTGCCCTGGCACGAATATGACACTTATATGTGTCAGTCCCGACTGCCTCAGACTCGTCACTTTTTTGGGGACCCCGCCCATCTGTATTGTTGCAGAGAAAACATGTGTGGGTTAAGTTTGCAAACCACAGTCATGTAATTGCTTTAGTCAGTGCCTTGACCTCCATAGTCAGACTACTTGTAATCAAGATGAAAGCACCAGAATGATCAAAATAACATATGCTCAACTGAAAATTCACCATAACTGCAAAGATAAAAAGTATTCAGAGTTAACTTTTTGTAAATTGTGTATTTTACTGTCCTAGATTCACTTTGTAATAGTGAATGTCTGCATTCATTTAAATGTAATACTGAAAACTTTACTTTTAAACATTGTTATATTTTTAAAAGAAAAGTTGTAAATTGTTAACACCATGAATGTTGAGTCTGTTGTATCTTCCTAACGAAGATAACAAGGACTGTTTAGCTGAAATGTTTTAAAAATACCATGGACAAAGAAGAATATAAATACAGACATCTTAAAATACTGGAACATCAACAGAAGATTGCCTAGTAAACAGCATCTTATCTCAGAAACTGAAATAATTTGGCCATACCTTGTGCCACAGCAGAGTGGAAAGAATAAAATCAGAAGCAAAGTACCAGGAAAGGGGCAGGGGTTGACCAGCGTGAAGATGGGCACAGGATATAAGTGACATTCTCGGTAGGAAAGTGCAGGAGGCCGGAGAGCTGGTGAAAGACCAAGAGATGAGAGCAACATGATGATATTGTGATTAGCAAGGATTATCATCACAGCACTCCGGACAGATCCATAGGTGCTCCGATCTCCTCCTCAAAAGCTCCACAAGTGTAAAACGACTGACGACGCCTGTTCAGTGTTGGTTAATGAAATGTCTTGTCCCCTTCGTGAAATGTTCATTTCTTGCAGCTCTAGGCTGCATGCCCCCATGTCCATCAGTCTAGACACGGATACAGAGTCATGACCTTGGGCGTGCTGTGCACTACGATAGTGTGATGTTGATTGTTATGTCTCAGTATTGCTTTGTTTGTTATTTGATTATTATGTTTAGCGAACACTGTTTCTTATGATTCTTAGCAGCATAAAAAGCAGTGCTGGTTTAATTGGGACATTTTCTCAGTTCTTCTTTGTGTTTACCAGCTCTAAACACTGGCAGAAAGGTCTGGTTGTTCGTCCGCATCTGGGTTTTAGTCTTGTTCCAGAACCTGAGTGTTGCATGCACACATGTTTTACATATCTGGTTTATTTGTAAGCAGACTCTTGGTTTCTTGCCTCTCTGGCAGATGCACTCCTTTGCTGGAAGCCTCCTGTTGGTCGACTCTTACAACATGCTTGTTGGGGAGACAGAGGCTCTGTTCTTGTTTTCCCCTTAACAGGCCTTGGATCCTGCTCACGGAACTTGCTCAGTTGTAGATTGTTCATTGTGTTTTTTGTGCGCTGGCTGCTTCAATACCTGAGTGGGTTCTAGAAGACCATTAGGGGGAGAACAAACCCACTGGCTCCCTAACAAGCATATCATAAAAAGGGAAAGCGGATGTTTTGGACCAAAAAGTGCAGATATTGCAGCGGTTTGGGGTGGTTTTCACGTTGGGATTTACAGCTAGGCTATGATATCTGCGCCTTTTGCCCAACACATCCTGTTTTAGCAAATCTTTAATTTGGCTTCAAACATGCTTGGCAAAGAACAGTGGATCGTTTCTTTTTTTTTCCCCTCCAAATATGTGGCCCCTGAACCCACATGGGGGACCAAATTGATGATTTCATGAGTGTCATTTTTTCAGAGATCCCCGAGAATCTTTAATAGAGCTACAGAGACCATCCTTTGTGTGACAACCCACATGGGGACAACATTCATTTCATGAGTGTCATTTTTTCAGATCCCTGGGAATTGTTGTTAGAGCTACAGAGACCATCCTTTGTGTGACAACCCACATGGGGACAACATTCATTTCATGAGTGTCATTTTTTCAGATCCCTGAGAATTGTTGTTAGAGCTACAGAGACCCTCCTTTGTGTGACAACCCACATGGGGAACAGCATTATTCATTTCATGAGTGTCATTTTTTCAGATCCCTGAGAATTGTTGTTAGAGCTACAGAGACCATCCTTTGTGTGACAACCCACATAGGAAACAGCATTATTCATTTCATGAGTGTCACTTTTTCAGATCCCTGAGAATTGTTGTTAGAGCTACAGAGACCTTGCTTTGTGTGACACACCAGGCAGGCAGCCAACTCTGCAGAGAGAGATTAAGCTGTATGGTAAATAGCCCATTTGTAGTCTTCTTCTTCTTCGTGTTCATCAGCTGTAAACTCTGGCAGAAAGTTCTGGTTGTTCATCCACTTTTGGACTGCAGTCCTGTTCCAGAACCTGAGCGTTGCATGTGCATCTGTTTTACAGATCTGACTTATTTGTATGCAGACTGCTGGTTCCTTACCTCTCAGGCAGATGCTCTCTGACTTCGAAGAAAGCTCCCAATTAGTCAACTCTTACCACATGCTTTTGGGTAGGCAGTGGGCCTATTCTTGTTTTCCCTGTAATAGGGCCCTGGAACCCACACAGGGACCAAGTCAATCCTGTTTTAAAACATATGTAAACTGTTTATGTTGTCTGCAAGTATTCCTCCCACTCTCCTTCTTTTCTTTATTCTCACTGCTGGTGGTTTTCAGATGTGAAGGCCACAAGCCTCTATGAAGTATATGGTGTGACGCATCTCCACTACTGATGCATACGGCTTGTGATTCCATCATAACACATGTCTCCTCATCGTGTTTGCAGTTTGACTTCTGTAAATATGTTTATTGTGTGGGAGTTGATGTTTCAGAAATTCAAAACAGTGTGGTTTCTCCCAGTGATTTTAGCTAATGCATACACAAATGCATTGCAAAATGTATTGCCTGTTATATTGACTATCTTGAACTTTGTGTGGAGAGATTAACAGGATTTATGTATTTCAGTTGGGAAAAAAACGAAGATTCAATTTGTGTGCTTTATTATATGTTGATTTACCTCTGGTAATAACACCTGTCGAGATACAGTGAAATATGTCAGGCAATAAATTATGCAATTTATTGTTTGTGTCTGCATTATTTTAATGTTTTGTCTTGGAAGACTGATTTTGAGTTAGCGAATACAGCAGATTTGGAGTTAGTGAATACAGCAGATTGGGATTTAGTGAATACAGCAGATTTGGAGTTAGTGAATACAGCAGATTTGTGGTTAGTAAATACATCAGATTTGGAGTTAGTGAATACAGCAGACATGGAGTTAGTGCAGCTCTGTTACTGGTGAAAATAAAAAGACAGTAAAGTATTTAGGTTATATTACAAGACAAAACACATAAAATCTATACTGCTAAAAAATATTTGAAAGGTAGCTTATCAATTTATGTGCAGTTGAAAAAAAAATAAAGATAGGTATAAAACACATATCATAAATGGTTTTCGTTGCACACTGCATTGATATTAAAACAAAAAACAAAATGATTTAATTAGTAAGAAAATTTATGTTGATCGCCTTACCTCCCTTTTTGAAATTTCAGAACAAAAGTTAACAAGATTTAGAATCAAGTGTGTCCACCGTGAGCTCAAATGCATTTATTGCACCTTTACTTCATCGATAAGACAAGAGGTCTTAGTCATTTGTGGGATCGCTTGCCACTCCTTCTGTTAGACGGGCCTGCGTGCCCAATTCTTAACCCTTTGAAAATAAAGTTTGTTTGTTCGTTAGTTAGTTCTCCAGGAGGAACAACTGATTGAGGTCAGGAGGATTTTCTCTAAGCTGGCATAGCACATCCCATACATGCTCTATCAGACTGAGATCAGAAACCAAACTGGCCAGTCAAAAGGGGGGGGGGGGGGACATGTTGCTATTGTAGAAAGTCACTCAGGACCCCAGCTCTATGTGGTGAGGCATTGTTGTCCTGTTGGATATAATCAGATCTAATTGATACATGACAAGGCAGATGTGGTGAAGACCGGTTGGAAATAAGCAACGGAATCAGAAGAGATAAAAGATTATTATGGCCTGGAGAGAATGAGGCAGCTGGGTGTAACCAGAGGGTCTGGTCGGCTCACTACACTCAGAGGACAGGCAAGACCGACATATAACCAGATTGCGATCGGTACCATCAGTACTGGAACTCTGCACTGGCTGGGAATGTTCCAAATGCTGTGATGTTAATTCTTAACTCAACTCAGATCCTAGAGCTTGATGTGCCATTAGAGCAAGCGGCTGTTGAGTGTCTGTAGGCCAGACCTTTCAAGATACCATGTACTCAATATTCAGTACAAGGGTGTTCTGGTAGTCATACTAATTTCACCCCATACCAGTACCGATCCACCTCCATAGTGATGATGTTCAAGGACATTAGCATCATGATAGCATTTAGCTGGGTGCCTCAGGACATGATTTCTGCCATCTGTGAATGATGAGATGAGATTCCTCTTTGAACAGGACTCTGCTCCACAGATGCCTTATCCATGACACATGACATAAGCTCCACGGATGCCTTATCCATGTCATGTGACACCAAGCCAGATGGGCTGTGCGATTAGCAGGAGCCAGGACAGTCAGAGGAGATGTCACCTTCATGCACATCTGCAGATCTCAGTCAATTTCATTTGGTTTGGTAACTGACAGTTACGTTGGTGGCTACTCGCAGTTGTCTCCTGATGTTTATAGCAGTGATTGTTCTTTGAGAGCTAGTTAGTTGGGTTATCATCACTGCAGTCCAGACGTGTCCATAGGTGCTCAGATCCTCCCCTCATTATGAACCCCAACGTCCTATGGCTAATAGTACCAGTTCTTTGTTGATTAACAAGACTTCTGGTGTGCGTCTTGTTCTTTGCTATGCCGATCTCAATTCACAAGTATGCCATTCTGGCGAGTGATGTGGATTCTTTACCCCCATAGTCCTCTATCCTTCCCATTTCTCTGAGGGCAATAATAATATCAGCATGATCCATAGGTTGACCGTTGGTAGTGATAGCGGATCCAGCCAACCTATCTGAGAGCTAGTGCAACAATGAATGTGTCTTGTCTTCTTGTAGTAGATTTAAATCTGACTTGCATTGTTCTGTGATACTACCATTGCATTATAACTGTCATCCAGAGTAAGGAAAGTAAGTAAAGGACATTTTACCACGCCTTTAGGCATATAGGGCTAGACCCATATTTTTTTATAGACCAATATGCACAAGATGGGTGATGTGGTCAGCTTCACGCCAGCCACCTTTACTTCCCAGGACTGCACCCGGTACCCACTCAGGGCTGGGTCGACCTGGGAGCCAAGGTCATTTTTGAAATTAGTCCGGCTCTTCCTGGGAGTGAACCCACGACCTTCAGATCTGCGGCAAGCGTCTAGCCGCTCAGCCACAGCGACTCCCGACTGTTGTGTGGTTTCTCTAGGCAAATTTACGTCTAGTAGTTTGTCACCCAGAGTGGAAACTCCTAATCTCCTAGCAATTTCTCGCAATTTCTATATCATCACTGCAGTCACGCAATTGCTGTCCATCTATCAACATTGGTAAACCATTTTCGCTGAGCCGTGTTTCATATGTTAAACCAAACATACCAGTTGTTTAGTCCTTCTTGAAAGTAGCTGACATGTGTTACCTATAGTTCTGACTTGCACCTGTAAAGCACATTTCAGCAGTGTTATCAATGGGCTTTGCCACAGATGTTTTTGCAAACATGCATTATTTCCCTTTCCACCATGTTGATTTTTTTGATCTTAGAGGTACACACATAATCACAGATTTGATTTATTGACAGATTAACAAACAGTTTAAGTATGCAACAAAATACAAAACAATTTTTTTCGGCTGTATGTTCAGGTTGTTTAAAAAAAAAGCTTAGTTAAAATAACCTAAAAATTGAAAGCGGCCTTTCAATTTGTTATTTTAGAAGTATATATTGTAGGGAAAAGTTGAAGGCACATGAGCAAGAGGCAGACAGTGGTACAAGTAAGAGGATGAAATCAGGAGATAGAACAGCGGTGTGAGAGAGTATACATCCAGGGTGAAAGACGGAGTGTGTTGGAGATTCACTGCAGCCAGTTTACATTGTAGAGACAATTGATTAACCAAACTCTTTTACTAAGACTCAGCATAGATGTAGGAAGGACTGTTACTCCTGCTCTGAAGTTATCACAGGATGTAAATAAATGTGTATATTGTGTATATATTTGCTACACCATGCAACATGTACTTAAGTATTGTGTTTGATTTGGGAGTTGATGGAATTTTCTTCGTCAGTATTTATCCCTTTTTTTTTTGTTTTTTGTTGTTTACTAGATAGCTCATATTCGGAATTCTAATTTTTTGGGGGGTAAAATAAATGCCAGTTATGAGTACCCTGAATCAGTGAGGTGTCACTGCTGCTGTCAGTTTGTCTACTGTCTAGTTTGTTTTGTAATCTGTTTGATTCTTTCTCTCCTTCATATGCTCATCATTATCTTCTTCTTCATCTTTTTCCCCTGCATGCCCAGCTCTTGAGGTTTAGTGAGGTAGATATCACCCCCCGCCCCCTTTTCCCATTTTTAAATATTTTTTTTAAATTCTTTTTTTTTTCTTCTTATTAACTATGAAATGAGGTAAAAATGAATAATTGTATGCAAGGAGCGGAGTGGAAGGGCAGAATGTTAGACGGGCTTGCGTGCTCAGTTCTTAACCCTTTGAAAATAAAGTTTGTTCATTCGTTCGTTTCCCGCAACCCAAAAGATATAATTTTTTTTTTAAATGTGAAAATTGTCTTTTTTTAATTGGACCCAGGCTGTAGTTGCGCTAATTGGGATAAGCATTAACTCTCTGAGTCCCAGTGAGTTTAGCATCACAGGCCCAAGGGGTAGTGAAAGGAAACATAAATTCGGCTCAGTATATGTTATTTGGGCTTCTAGGTAGAAACATATGAACGTATGATGCATTCCTTGAGACTCAAAGAGTTAATGCGACACTTTGATGACCCACAATTGTATGTATGGAGATGCCGGTCAATGCACGGTGAGTTTGGTACTGAATTAGTTTTGAAAACCCCAGACATAATTTATTGTTTGTAAGCTCATCGTTTGGGTTTCAGGGCTCGTTTCAGGGACAAATAGAAAACAGACCCACTACATGCCTAAAAAAAATCATGTCAAAAAAAGCAACTAGTTAGGGATTTGCTGAAATCGGATGAGTTGGGCCAAAAAGTGCAAATATCGCAGTGTAGCTGTACACCACAACACAATATGCCAACCGCTATTTTAAGGGGACATTGCAGAAGTTGAAAGCTGGTTGTCTATTCAAGGGAAGCAATCATGTAAATTGTACTGCAGTGCTAAATCACATTCAGTATGGGTTGTCTCCACTGTTAGCCATTTCTCCATTCATCCAACTCAAATTTAGCAGTACTTGTCTAAGCACACGTGTTATCTGGGAGACACCATGGTGTAGCGGCTAGATGCTGGCCTGCAGATCTGAAGGTCATGGGTTCACATCCTAGTGGTGCTGGAATTTTTTTCAAAAAAAAACCTTGGCTCCCAGGTTGACCCAGCCTTAAATGGGTACCAAGCGAAGTCCTGGGAAGTAAAGGAGGCTGGCGTGATGCTGACCATATCACCCACCAAGTGCTGATAGGACTAGCTCTAACTGCCCAGTGGACCTGAAGATGTGGAAAAAAACTTCTTTACTATGTTCATCTTGGAATAGGGCACCAGAACCTGAGGTCTCAGCCATCTTGAGACTCTGCTACTTCCCCCTCTTCCAGATATTGTGGGGTGGGGGGGGGGGGAAGACGGCCCCCTAGTGCCCCCAGCCCTTTAAAATGTGTAAAGGGGTTACCACCTATCCACATATAAAAAAAAAAAAAAAAAAGTAAAATTCCCTTTTCACGCCTTTCGGTGCATCGGGCATATAGGCAGAGCCTCGCATATTTTTACAGACCATCAGCACTCAGTGGGTAATGTGGTCAGCATTACGCCGGCTGTCTTTACTTTCCCAGGACAGCCCATCCTGGTACCCATTCTAGGCAGGTCGAATAGATCCACATATAGACATTTAAAAAAAAAAAGGTTAGTTTATACATTTAAAATTATTTAAAATGTATAGTTATATATATTTGCCATTCAGCATATGAAAGTAATAATTATTACTGCACACTTAAACAAGGTTTAAGCATGTAACAGCTTGGGAAATTATATATACCTCCCCCTCCCCACACCTCCAGTCCCATGATTTTTATATTGTGGTGCCCCTCATCTTGTCTATTTTCTTCTTATTTCTAGGTTTAGTTTGTATCTTTGTCAGGTTTCATATTAAACAGTTTCTTGTTTGGTTAGTCAGATTCAGATTACTCAGTTCTATCTATTTTAAGAGCCCTGACCACAAAGATGAAATTGACATTTCTGTCACTGCTACAAAATCTTGCCCCAGTGATCACATCACAGATCTCTAATTAGAACCTTTAGGGAAAGTGGCGTTATCACTGACATGTTGTAGAAATGTGTTTTTAAGGGTGTGTGGTGAGTTTGGGCATCTCATAGAAGTCACTTTGTGCATATTTGATCAAAGACTACACGGGGATTTGGATTCTGCAGCAGAGTTCCCCCCCAGTTGTCACACTTGTTGCCATATTTTTCATCAGCTTTATATATCACAGTCATAGTTTATTGTTACATTGCTTTGCCTCACAAATTGTTGCTAATTAACTTGTTAAAAGGACCCTTTTCCACACCTCCAGTCATAATGGGCATATAGGGCTAGACCTATATTTTATAGATCAGTCAGCACTGGGTAGATGATGTGGTCATCACCACGCCAGACACTTTTACTTCCCAGGACTTTGTCTGGTACCCACTCAAGGCTGGGTTGACCTGAGAGCCATAATGAGTTTTGTAAAAAGTCCAGCTCCGAAAGGACCCGACCCTATGGCCTTTGGATCCACAGGTGAGCATCTCGCTGCTTCACCACAGCTGATTAACTTGTTGGTCATCTTATTTACATATCTGGATATTATTGTTACAATCTTCTCTCTTGTTTGAAAACCTTACGTGTGTTTTCCTGTAAGGTAATCCTATCTTGCCATCAATCATAGTGTACATTCTTTCTTTAAGTTATAAGGTTATAGCCGAGAGGATCAACTTCAGTGCAGCAGATTTTTGGCTATTCTCCTAAAAGCGGCGACTTAATTTGCGGTTTTCCGGCGACTACCGCCACCGCCACAAGTCCCCAGTGCCGCTCACGCGGTGTGGATTGGGCTTAACTAGATGGCTAGGACTGACGAGCAAAGCTGCAGGAGATGCGGAAGCTGCTGCTTGTGAGTCCTAGCCATCTAGTTTAGCTCCAATCCATGCCGCGTGAGCTGCGTGGGGGACTTGTGGCGGTAGTCGCCGGAAAACCGCAAATTAGGTCGCCAGAAGTGCGCAATTGACACGTGACTGAGGCTCGTAAGGATATTTTGAGGCCGCCATCTTTTGTGCCCCTTATCCGGAGGATAGCCAGATTTTTTCCCCGTATGGCTCGCAAAGAGCATCACACAAAACATGAAAACTGTAGCTCTGAGGATAATCCCCAGCGGTTTCCCAAAATAATGCACCTGTGAACCAAACAAAGCAGCTGTAAAAAGAACCTTAACTTTCAGAATGCAAGGCAAACGGCTTGACAATGTCGCCATGTAGACGAAAATTTGAGTGATTCATGTTTTGTTGTTGTTGTTGCACTGCTTTGCTTTGCAAATTGTTGCTAATTATCTTGTTGGTCTTTGTGATTGCATATCTTGATATTATCATTACAATCTTCTGCCTATTTTCTTGTAAACTTATCATACCTTGCCATCAGTCATAATGTACATTCTTTCTTTGAGTGATTTTTATTTTTGCTTTCTTAACTGTTTGTTTCCTATAATTTCTCATTAAATTTGGAAATTAAACAAGGAAAAAAGCTTCAAGTGTGTAATCTATACAATGTTGTATGTTTAAAATGATTCTAAACTAGAAATGGACATGGAAGTAAAGGTAGCCGCCGTGATTCTGATCACACGATTCATTGATTGGGGAAATGATTATGGAAATATGGTATCATCATCCTTTCGGGGTGGAGTGGGAGGATGAGAACCTGTAGTTTATTACAGCACAGTACATTGTTATGAAATTAGGCAGGGCTGTTCAACTGGCGGCTAGCTGGCCAAATCTGACCCATGGAGACCTACCAATCATAGCTGTTTCTATTGTGTTAATGATCTTTCTGTGTGGTTTCCTCTGGCCCATGACAATCTCCATTTTCATAACTCAGATGCTGAGTCAACATAGTTGAATAGCCATGGAATAGGATCTCTTTTGAACAGTTAATTCTCAAGGCTTTCTAACAGCTGTATGAGAGTTTCACTGTGGAAAACATCTGAGCCTGACCATGTAGTGTTCCTGAAGACAGCAGTGGTTGTACACACCAAGGCTGTCTCCAGTATGGGCCACAGAGCTGATGATGTCAGCTTACCATGATGTCACCACTCTAGGCTAAGGATGCCTCCTGTTTTCACTCTGACAGTGACATGTTTTTCCCATGTGTTCCTTGCCATCCCCTGAGTACTCGCCCCCTCCCTCCCCCTTTCCTCCTCCCTCACCCCAAATCTATATATATATATATATATATATATATATATATATATATATATATATATATTTAATGTCCAGAAATCATGAGTTGTTAACACTTTGGCTCTGTACTAGAGAAAACGAACAACCAAATGAACGAACTTTATTTTCGAAAGGGTTGCAAACAGGCCACATTGGCCCTTCTTAAATTCGACTCGCCAAACATTTATCTTTCATACCGCAGCTGGTATTTTATGAATAAAACATGATTATACGTAGATAATATGAATATCAAATACATAACACATGCATACATTAGACATTCATAAATACATACAGGAAGAAACAGAAAAATATCAAAACGAAATACATTTTTTTTAGGGGGTAAATAGGAGTTCAGTTTTGCTTACCACCGCACACATACACACATATGTGCACACACACTCGCACTGTTCCTGACTCACCCATTTACCTTTTCAACTCTCCACTCCATCTCAACTGAGTGCTTTTTTGTCCTGTTTTGCACTTAAAAAAAAAAAATAATGCCAACATTGACAGCCATTGATATACTTCACTTTACTTTGTGGCGTCCTTCAGTTTTAGCTGTGGGTATAGCACTGAGCTTCTTGTTCTGTTGACTTCAGTTTAGCCTTTTGTTGTTTAAATTTTAATACCAAGGAACTCGCAGAAGGTAGACTGTTTACTTTATGTATGGTACACATCCAGTTTTAACATATGGCTGTAAATCCTGGACATGTTCTTCTTTTTCACCACCTGTTAACTCTGGTGTAAAGTTCTGGTTGTTCATCCACTTTTGGACTGCCAACCTGTTCAAAAACTTGAGCATCCGTTTGACAGATTTGACACATTTGTGTGCAGACTGTTGTTTCCTTGCCTCTCAGGCAGATGCACTCAGATTTTGAAGAAAGCTCCCAATTAGTCGACTCTTACGACATGCTTGTGGGTCTATTCTTGTTTTTCTTATAGCCACACAGGGGCCTGGACATGTGATAAAAAAAGTAAACAATTTTCTGAGGCCCCGATGATGTGGTTTTACAGAAAAATCCTTAGAAGTTCTTGGACAGCCGAAAGAGAAACTCAGATGTTTTGAAACTTCAAAGACAACTTATCACAAAGACCAGAGACAGTCATCATTTTTGGTCCTGTTATGAGAAGCAGGAAACTGGAATTTATTGTGATCACTGGAAAGGTCTGTGGAAAAAGAGGCCGAGAAAGACAAAGAAGACGGGCATTGGAGAACATCGTGATGACTGGAGATATCAGCTGCAGAAGAGGCAGGGGCAGACGAGGACAGACGAAACATGGCAACCTGAACCATGGCATGTTGGAATATCAACAGTAAAAACTAATTCACAATACCAAGGACCGAGATCTGTGGAGAAACATGAGCCACTAGGCCACTGTACATTGTGTAGGGCCCTTTGAGAACGAGTGAACAGTGTGGAGGCGCAGACAGATCATTACGGTCTGAGGAGAATGACTCTTCGAGTAGTTACCAGGGGATCTAGACGACGCTCAACACTCAGGGTAAAGATGAGACGGATATACAACCAGATGGTTACTGGTGCCATCGGAATTGGAACTCTTCGCTTGCTGCTGAAGATGGGGAAGGAGCACTTATAGAAGTGTCCCGATTGCTATTATGTCGATTCCTAATGCAACATTAAATGCAGGGTACATGATGTTGATGACGATTTCTTCCCCTAATTCGCATTTCACCAATGTTTTTAAGTGACGTTAAGTTTCTAGGTCTATTTCTCCCCATTTCATGTCTAGAATAAACAGATGAACATGTCGGCAAGTCTGAAACAATGCTATGACCTTCTCAACAAGACCGGTAGGGCTTCCGCGATTACCATCAGCTTTCTGAGAAAGGACTTAAGGTATGAAACGTATCATCATCATCTTCATCATCATTGCTTCTCTTTATGCCAAGTGGCACATAAGGTTTCAGAGAAAACTTTCCATGCTTTCCTGTCCTGTTCAATCTTCAGTGCAGTTTTTCATGTCAGAGATGCAGCCCTCAGTACTCAGTTCACTTTCCTTCCTTCGTTTCCATTTTGTTTTTGGGCGCCCTTTCTGTCTATTTCCCTCTGGTATCCAAGTGAGAGCTGTTTTGGCAGCTATATCAGGATTCATTCTCATAACGTGGCCAAGCCATTTCCATCTTCTCTGTGTTATCATACTGTCCAGAGTTTCTTGGCTTGTGACTTAAAGTAGTTTAGTGTTTGAGATTGTAACTGGCCAGAAAATGTTGATAATTCTACGTAGACATGTGTGTGGTGCAAAGCTTGTTCGCATTTTAAGTCATTCTCCAACATTCTGCTCCATATAGAAGAACTGGCAAAATGATGCTCTTGTAGAATCGGAGTTTTAGTTTATCTGCAATAATTTTTGGATTTCCAGATTTGCCTCATCCTTTCAGAAAGTGGCTCCAGCTTTGTTATTTCAGCGCGATTCCAATATTCGTCCATGCCAATGTTCGTTTTTTTTAGTTCGGCCTTATATTCCTGCCACTGACATGTTTGTTTCCCCCGAAAAGCCAACATTCGCCACTCCTCGGACGTGGCTGGCGGAGTATCAGAAAAAAAAAAAGACGAAAGGCCGGTTTCAAGTGCTGAAATTAAAGAATGGCTGTCCATTTTGGCAGGAATGCAGATATTCGCCGAGAAGTAGAACCAAAACATCGCTAGGATTAATAATCGTGTAATTTCATTTGACTTCAGTGAGTTTGGACTTTTTCAGAACATAAAAAAAAAAAAAATATTTCACAAATTCTTTAGAAACGAGTGTTGGTGCACTGTCTGGAAATGCTGATGAATCATCACGGAATCAGTCACAAGAAGTGACATAGCATCAGTCACAAGAAGTGACACAGCATCAGTTAGCAGAAGTGACACGGCATTAGTCACAAGAAATGACTTAGCATCCTTCAGCCTAAGTGGCATGGCATCAGTCAGCAGAAGTGACATGGCATCAGTCACCAGAAGTGACATGACATCAGTCAGCTGAAGTGACATTGCCTGCTGTCATAATGGAAAGAGTCTCTCGTTTCAAACAATAGCCATTGTTGTTTTATCCAAAAGGAATATTTCTGTATTTACGTAGGCCTACAGTATACTTAGACGGCAGGACGAATAAACCTCTGTCAAAATAAAGCAATGATAAATACGGTTGGTTAATATGTGATTAGCGGTATCCGTCTCTTAGGCATTGCGAGTTCATACTGAGGGGAGGATCTGAGCACCTATGGACATGTCCGTAGTGCAATGATGATAACCCAAATAACTAACTAACTAACTAACTAACTAACTAACTAACTAACTAACTAACTAACTAACTAACTAACTAACTAACTAACTAACTAACTAACTAACTAACTAACTAACTAACTAACTAACTCGTAATTCTAACGTACCGCGATCGAAACCCACTGCTGGCTGCGTGGATTTTTATCATGGTATGGGGCGTCCCAGGTCGACCCATCCTAAAATGGGTACCAGGTTGGTTGTTCTCAGGAAATAAAGACATCCGGCGTCAATCGAGGCGAGACAGAGAATTCTTAAAAGATTCATAAATCCTATACTGATATACGGATGTCAATCATGGACAGTTGATAAATTAGTGAATACTTGTTTATAAGCTCCGGAGATGTGGTTTTGTTGACGAATGATGAGAATACCCTGGACAGATGAGAAGAGTAATGAAGACGTTTTGATAGAAACTGACTCACAAAGAGAACTGATTACCCATATCAGAAAGAGACAATTTACATTCTTTGGTCATGTGAGAATGAGAAACCTGGAGTACATCGTGACGGTTGGAAAGTTGGAGAGGAGGAGAGGCAGAGAGAGACCAAGATAACAGATGCTGGACAGTTTAACATCAAGGCATGGAAGATCATCTGTGTCAGAGTTGATCGAAAGTACAAGAGACTGAAGGTTTTGGATAGACATGACTACAAACGCAACATAGCATGGACTCTAAGAGAAAATATCAACCAGTTTGTTTGAGGTTTGAACAACGGATCAACATAATGGCACACGGGTAGTAACCCATATGTGCTTTGTTCTTCTTCTAAGTCAAATCTGAGTCCGAAGAAGCTCTGCACCGTGTGCACAGGCTCTGTAGCACCGGCGAGGATCCTGAAATGCTTTAGGTGGATTTTTAACTCCAAATTTTGTCTGGGCAGCGCCGTAAGGCTAGTCTTTTCGATTTCCAACTGCCAAGAGATTTTTGTACCCTCGCAACAATGTACACGGGCGTCCGATCTCACTACCTAGATACCAGAGGAATAACTAGAAGTCCAAGTCCATGTAAAAAAAATCGCGGCCCTTACCGGGGATTGAACCCAGAACGTCTATCATTCGAGGCAGACACCATACCTTGAAACCACGCAGCTCCCTGCAACAACATAAATCATTCAACTAGTTGTATGTTAATGTGAACAGGGTATGAGTCAGAGCGTCTTAATCTTTGATCTTATTTGCTTATATGAATAATTATTGCTAAATTATTGAATTGCTATGTTTATTCAGTAACGTAGAAGTAATTACGTGTAGGAATGAATATTACAGAATATAGAAGAGGAAATTAGTCTTGTCAATATCGCCTAAAGATTATTAGTACTTTGAGAAAAAGAATCCACGCTCCTCTCTCCGTGTACAACCAGAGGCGCCAGAACAGGGGGAGGGGGGTACCGTAAGCGCAACCCCCTACCGCAAATACGTTTTTAAGGATATTTTCAATTTTTAAGAGGGTTAAGTCCCCCCCCCCTTCTCCTCCCCCAACCCAAACCCTTAGAATACAACCTAAGAAGAGAGCACATATAATAAAAAGAGAAACCCCTTAGACCCCTTGACAATTTACTAGGGGGTGGAGTGTAACCCCCCCCCCCCCCAATTATTTTGGGAGGTTGGGGTGGGGGAAGAGGCTGACCTTAAGGATGCCTGAACCGCCAGGTTCTATAATGTATTAACATGTCTCTATACATGTATTAACTCACTTTATCATGTTCACAGACTTTCTGTTGCTTTATTACCTCACTTTATCATGTTCACAGATTTTCTGTACCTGTATTGTTTTACTTTATCATGGTCACATACTTTCTGTACCTGTAGAGTCGTACTTTATCATGTTCAAAGACTTTATGTACACGTATTATCTCATTTTATCATGTTCGAAGACTTTATGTACACATATGATCTCACTCTATCATGTTCAAAGACTTTATGTACACGTATTATCTCACTTTATCATGTTCACAGACTTTATGTACACGTATTATCTCACTTTATCATGTTCACAGACTGTATGTACACGTATTATCTCACTTTATCATGTTCACAGACTTTATGTACACGTATTATCTCACTTTATCAAGTTCAAAGACTGTTTGTACACGTATTATCTCACTTTATCATGTTCACAGACTCTATGTACATGTATTGTAAAAACACTGTTTAGAGAGTAACAACAAACTAATGCTCTAAAAAAATTGCCTGGTAAAACTACACAACATAATTCACAACTGGATTGGTTCGCACCATCAACTTAAAAATTAAATGGTAAACCAATGGCTCTTATTTTTATCTGACTAGTGATTGCGCATTTCTTATTTTCTAATACCACGTACTAGAAAGGAACTTCTGAAAAGAGGTGCAATGACTCCGAAGTGTCTTATTCTATTGTGAACAGAGATTCAATGATTCTGAAGTGTTTTGTTCTATTCTGAACAGAGATTCAATGATTCTGAAGTGTTTTGTTCTATTCTGAACAGAGATTCAATGATTCTGAAGTGTTTTGTTCTATTATGAACAGAGATTCAATGATTCTGAAGTGTTTTGTTCTATTATGAACAGAGATTCAATGATTCTGAAGTGTTTTGTTCTATTATGAACAGAGATTCAATGATTCTGAAGTGTTTTGTTCTATTCTGAACAGAGATTCAATGATTCTGAAGTGTTTTGTTCTATTATGAACAGAGATTCAATGATTCTGAAGTGTTTTGTTCTATTATGAACAGAGATTCAATGATTCTGAAGTGTTTTGTTCTATTCTGAACAGAGATTCAATGATTCTGAAGTGTTTTGTTCTATTATGAACAGAGATTCAATGATTCTGAAGTGTTTTGTTCTATTGTGAACAGAGATTCAATGATTCTGAAGTGTTTTGTTCTATTGTGAACAGAGATTCAATGGTTCTGAAGTGTTTTGTTCTATTCTGAACAGAGATTCAATGATTCTGAAGTGTTTTGTTCTATTATGAACAGAGATTCAATGATTCTGAAGTGTTTTGTTCTATTGTGAACAGAGATTCAATGATTCTGAAGTGTTTTGTTCTATTGTGAACAGAGATTCAATGGTTCTGAAGTGTTTTGTTCTATTGTGAACAGAGATTCAATGGTTCTGAAGTGTCTTGTTCTATTCTGAACAGATATGCACTGATTCTGAAGTGTCTTGTTCTATTGTGAACAGACAGACTGACAGTAAATTGCCTTGTTCCAGTCTTGTTCCACTGAGTCTGAAATATCCCAACTATTCAGAACAGAGATGTAGTGATTCTAAAGTGTCTAGTTCTATTCTTACAGTGATGCACTGACCCTGAAGTGTCTTATCTATTCTGAACAGAGATGCTCTCTGTCTCTTTTACCTTGTTCTGCGGGCCGTGGACACTGTCGAAGATGATATGACCATACCAGACGATATCAAAGTGACCATGCTGACGTCATTTGACAAGTATCTGCTAGATCCAACATGGAGGTACACGGAAAGCAATGACGAATACGCAGTTGTTTTGGAGAACTTTCCATGTGTAAGTTTTCTTTTTTGAAAACTTTAATAATACGTCAGTTAGGTTAGGTTGAGTATCCTTTACAGGACGTTGCAGAACCACCCCTAACAGCCCCTGGCTGTTGTGTGGTTTTTCTAGGCAAATTTACGTCCAGTAGTTTGCCATTGCTTCTGGACGGTCGGCTTTCTTGGTGCCACTGTCGAAACCAACACAGGGCGATTGGACCGCAGCTGGGATCGAACCCGGCATTACGAAGCAATACGTCAGTAATAACAGACCGTCTTGTACTGCTGTTAATACATTAATATCTAGAACCTACGTTTAGAAAGCAATGGCAAACTAATGAACGTAAAATTTATCTAAGAAAAACCCACAATAGCGCCCCCACCCCCCCCCCCAACTTGTTTTTATATGCGGTTTGACGTGCAACGTCCTTTAGAGGAAATGCAACTAATTTAATTAACTACACCCTCCACCGACCCCAAAGGGGTTCAGGAACCCTAAACAAAGGGGTCCAGGAAACCCAAACATAGGGCACAAGAACCCTAAACAAAGGGGTCCAGGAACCCCAAACATAGGGCCCAAGAACCCCAAGCAAAGGGGTCCAGGAACCCTAAACATAGGGATCCAAGAACCTCAAACAAAGGGGTCCAAGAACCCCAAACAAAGTGACCCAGGAACCCACACAAAGGGACCCACGAGCCCACACGAGGACGTTAAGAACTCAAGCACAATAGCTTCTGGCTGACCAGTTAGTCACTGCGTTACCACAGTTCAGTTACAAAGTAGAGGCCCAATAATAATAATAATAATAATAATAACAATACTAATAAGGGATTCTTCAATCTGGCAGTACGCAAAAGTGCTTGGTACTGGCACCTTAGCAGCCATAACTTTTTAGCTACAATGTAACTGAAACTTTGTAGTAAATTCCGATACCTTTATTTTTTGGGGGAAAAAAAGGGGGGGGGGGGGGGGGGGGGGATGGGGAGGAGGGGGAGACATTTTGTGATGTGTACTGGCAACCTGTTTTCAATCAGAAAAAAACCTCTGATGATGATGATGATGATGATGATGATGATGATGATATGATAATGATGATGATGATGATGATAATAATAATAAAATTTATAAGTATATAAGTGGTTTGCTGTTTGATTTAATATTTAATGCCCCCCCCCCCCCACCCCCTCCCTGCCAGATCTCAAAATCCCTTCGTGAACTTCCCAGCAAATACAGAGCCATCATTACTGAGCGGGGCTGTCAGATCGGGAAAGGAATGGCAAACTTTGTGGGAAAAGAACTGATGACGTCAGAATACATAAATGAGGTTTGACTCTTACCGACACGATTTTTAGCTTGTTGTGTTAGGAGACAATGAATCGTGTATTTTCTTCATCATCTTCTTCTTCACTTCCTGTTTTAACGCGTTGGGTTTTGATGGAAATAAAAGGTTCTGTCTGTTTTTTTTTTGTTTTTTTTTGAAACTCTTGTCCGGGTTCCGCGCTGCGATATTACGTTTAATGGCCCTAACCTCTTCCACAGTGCAACTCTCATACCGCCATACGAAAACTGACAGAGAGGATTAGGCGCTCATACTGCACATGCATAAATACGGCCCTGTGTCAGTGGAGCGCAATAAACTGCTATTTTGGTTTCTGTATGTGCATCGTATGATTCCTGCTAGCAAGTTAAACATTTTGATCGGAAAGTAGTGAGTTTAGATCCTTATGGAGCCGGACTTTTTTTTCTTCTTTTTCAGAAATGGCCTTGGTTCTTAGGTCCACCCAGACGCAAATTGGTACCCGGTAAAGACCTGAATAGTAAAGGCGGCTGACATGGTGCTGACATACAAAGCACTGATTGGTCTATAAGATATAGGTCAAGCTTTATATGGTCAATGAGCCTGAAGGCGTCTGAAAACCTGAAGGCGTCTGAAAACCTGAGGGCGTCTGAAAACCTGAGGGCGTCTGAAAACCTGAAGGCGTCTGAAAAGCTGAAGGCGTCTGAAAACCTGAAGGCGTCTGAAAACCTGAAGGCGTCTGAAAACCTGAAGGCGTCTGAAAACGTCATTTAACCTGGGACTAAATTAGTATATTGGAACAGAAACCAAAATTGTGTTGATGTTAACCAATGTTCTTCCTAAGCGAATTCGTGTTAATGAGGTTTTATTGTATATGAAGTTATAAAGGCCTAATATTTATGTTTCATGTAATAATCTCATTGATAGAATGCGTTAACTCTTTTCCCCAATGACAGGTGTTATTTTAACTTGTTATAATTTATTACAATCCAGGATCAAAATATATAAAACGTTGAAAAGACCAGTCATTTTATATGGCTCTGAAATTTGGAGCGCAACTAAAAAATATGAAGTCTGATTACAGGTTCTTGAAAACAGAGTCTTACGACGAATCTTTGGACCCATCAAAGATGCAAACAGCGGTGAATGGAGAGTGAGAAGCAACAACTAAATTCATAATCTGTTTTAATCACCATAGGCGGGTGATATCTGCAACAATGAACCCCAAGGGCTCGGAATGCTGAAGAAGCCCAGCCAGAGAGATGAATGGAAGCGGGTGATATCTGCAACAATGAACCCCAATATTGAAAAAATTTCAGATGACAGAGAAGTAAAAACTATACACAACAGTTAGATGAATGGTCGTAGACCATGAGGGAGACCAAGAAGACTATGGAGAGATAATGTCCAGACAGACCTACAAATACTAGGTGTCACCAACTGAGAAGAGAAGGCCCATCAGAGAGATGAATGAAGGCGGCTGATATCTACATCAATGAACCTCAAAGGCTCGGAATGCTGAAGACGACCAACCAGAGAGATGAAGGAAGGCGGGTGATATCTGCAGCAATGAACCTCAAGGGCTCGGAATGCTATAGAAGGCCAACCAGAGAGATGCATGGAGGCAGGTGATATCTGCAACAGTGAACCCCAAGGGCTCGGAATGCTGAAGAAGGCCAACCAGAGAGATGAATGGAGGCAGGTGATATCTGCAACAGTGAACCCAAAGGGCTCGGAATGCTGAAGAAGGCAAACCAGAGAGATGAATGGAGGCGGGTAATATCTGCAACAATGAACCTCAAGGGCTCGGAATGCTGAAGAAGAAGATATAATGAATTCTTACCTTAACAAATGTTTACGTTGGAAGGGCTTACAAATAATAAGAACCTGAGCCAGATGAGTAAAAGTAACAAATGGTCAAAGTGGGTAATATAATCATTGGATGTGTCCCAATGAGGTGAGTAAAAGTATTTAATGTAATTACACACATATAAAGGCAAGTGAGTTATTTGGTACTAAAAGAGTTGACTTATTAACTGTTTGAGCTCAAAGAGTTAATTTACCCAGTTCTTCTTTGTGAACCAGCTGTAAGCTCTGACAGGAAATCCTGGTTGTTCGTCTATTTGAGCTTAACCTTTGTACCAGAGTTTTGCGCGCACATCTGTTTTACTGGTTTATTTGCGTGCAGCTGGTTGTTCCTTGCCGCTCGGGCAGATGCACTCCGACTTTGAAGAAAGTTTCCCCATTAGTCGACTACTACGACATGCTTACTGGGAATGGAGTGGATTTATTTTTGACTTCCCCACAGTGGGATCCCCAGAACCCACACAGGGTTAGTTATTCAGTTGATTTCTTTCCAGTACTGCAAACAGGTAGCAGGCGTTTTCTGTATTGGAGTAACCCGTCTGTTTGTGGCGTCAGGACTGGAACCAGAAGTACCCGACACTTCAGCTATAATACAAGCGTCGCTGTTTCTGCACAAAATTAACATGATCCGTGATTTCAAGAAGGACTGGCAATGTGGCAGGCTATACTACGCGGGCGATGTGAGTTTGATTCTATTTACATACCAGTATTCATCGAGAAACACGTTGGTTGTTGTTACTTGTTACTTTTTCCGTATCGATTCCCTAGCACAGTGGGCTCTATCCTAAGGGGTGGAGGCCCTCCCTTTAGCCCGGTGGAGGGGCGGGGCTAGATTTCAAGGGGCGTAAAGTAATTTTGAAATAGAGTGCATTTTTATTTGTAATAATCCTTTATATTATTTTTTGTTTCAGTTTAATTATAAATAGAATAATAAAAAATTTTAAAAAAATTAAAAAAAAAATAAAATTAAAAAAAAAAAGTTAAGGACGTTTTTTTTTCACAACTAGTTTGTATATCTAGAGCAGTCTCCCAAACTTTTCTTAGTCGCGGCGCCTTTTTTCAATAAAAAATTTTCCAGGGCGCCCTAAACTAAGTAAAAGTATGACTATTTTGATGTAAAAAATTAAAACAAAAATCGTATATCTTCGAATATTTTGCGGCCCCCCCCCCCCCCCCCCCCCCCCCCCCCCCCCCCCCCCCTGTGAAGAGGTCAAAGCTTTCCTGGGCGCTGCAGCGCACAGTTTGGGAATCACTGATCTAGAGTTTGAAATCTCATCGGTAGGACAAAACCGGCATTTAATTACAGATTAAGAACACATTATGACGAAGATGTAAACTGCCGGTTTCTCTTGTTACGAAGTGGGTAATTTTTGGGGAGGGGGTGCTTTGCCATACTCAAAGGGCGGGGGGGAGGGGGAGGGGTGTCATAAATGATAGTCGGCCTGCATAGACTTATAAGAAAGCTATCACTCCTTAATTCAGGAATGACAAATAAAAAATAAAACAATCACAGAAGTGCTCGACTATAATTGTATCTAAGTGTTGTGTCCCAGGATAATATTACATCACACAAGCAGACAGCAATTCCAGTTATGGGAACTAGATGGTAGGCGGGACTCACTGAAATAGAAAATTTGGAAACCTGGGAAATATGTAGTTAAAGACCCTCCAACAGTTTGTACAGCCCTCGCATAAAATAAAGATTTTACAGTTTCTACAGTGTGCCTGTCAAACAGGACCACAAACACCTGAGTACATTCTGCAGCCTGCCCACTCTACATGTACTTTGAAAAGACACCTGGTCTCAAGAGCAAAGTGTCACAGGACAGTCCAACATTTTAAAGGGTGGTAAGACTGGGTTTCCCGAATTTCTGATGCTTTTAACGACCCCAAACCAGCTAGAACTGGCCCCAACCCCAACCAACCTACTTGTCACGAGAGAGTGCAGCCTAGGTCCCATGAGTGCATGCAGCCTGTGTCTCATCTACCACCCTCTGAAATGTTAGACGTCCCGTGACGTATGGATTTTTTTTTTATTTTTGAGTAGGATATTAAAAAAACACCAAGTTAATGTTAATAGTAGTGGTCGTCTAACGATAAAAAAATATATATATTCTGGCCCCCAGGGCGACCCAGCCTTGAATGTGTACCAGGTGCAGTCATGGGAAGTAAAGACGGCCGGCTTGATGCTAAATACATCCACCATCAAGTGCCGTTTGGTCTATAAAATAGAGGTCTAGCCTTGAAAGGCTGTGGAAAAGGGTCCATTCCTTTACGTTACTAGCAGTGGTCGGGGTGATAGAAGCAATGGCAGTAGAAGCTGCATGAGCAGTCAGGCCAAATACACAAGCTTGGTACATAGCAGTAGTTGATTCGTTGCTATCTTTATGGTAAAATAATCACTTTAATCGTGTACAGGTTTGGAGCAAATATATCAACAACCCGGGAGACTTCTTGAAACCTGAGAACTTTGACAAGGGCGTTAAATGTGTCAATGAGCTCGTCACAGACGCTCTGCAGTACCTGATACCTTATCTGGGGTTTCTCAAAACGCTGAGCAGCGAGAGCGCCATCAAATTCTTTGGAATTCACCAGGTTTGATCTATGCTCTACATAAAAATATCATCAGCAACATCATTGTCCTATTGTTATAAGTCACTTAAATCTCCCAACCTAGTCAGCAATGCTGTTCGGTTCTGTGAAATCCTTTGAAAATCACGGGATATAGGGATGGGGAGGGATGAGTGGGGTGGTGGGTGGGGGGGGGGGGGAATCATACAACGCGGATGAGAGTCACCCGGGCACGAGCCCTAGACCTCCCCCCTCTCCCCACCCCCTTTTCCCTCTTCCCCCCCCCCCCCCAACCATTAGGTTATATTAGGGCCCCCGACAGCAGCCGGAGTAGGGCTTTCAAATAACGAAAAATTGCGTCCTTTATTGGGTGGAGGGGTATAAACGTCTAGGCAATCTCTCTGTCTGGCAGTCAAGCATACCAGCTTCTGCCGTAAAATCCACAATGAAAGATAACTGTGACAAAATGTTACATTTTGGAACAACTGACAACTATCAATATTTAGTTTATTTCTACAGAAAGCTTTCAAAATGTAACTGTTTTCAAACAAACATCACCGATGTTTGTCGCTTATGCGGTGCGAACGCTCTTCGTAATGCCACAGTGCCGGGTTCTATGACAGAAGCTGGCAAATGTATGTCGTTTATGTGCCCCGCATGTTGCTTACGCATGTTATTCATGTGCCCCTTATGTTACTGACGTGTGTTATTCATGTGCCCCTTATGTCACTGACATGTGTTATTCATGTGCCCCTTATGTTACTGACATGTGTTATTCATGTGCCCCTTATGTCACTGACATGTGTTATTCATGTGCCCCTTATGTTACTGACGTGTGTTATTCATGTGCTCCTTATGTTACTGACATGTGTTATTCATGTGCCCCTTATGTTACTGACGTGTGTTATTCATGTGCCCCTTATGTTACTGACATGTGTTATTCATGTGCCCCTTATGTCACTGACGTGTGTTATTCATGCGCTCCTTATGTCACTGACGTGTGTTATTCGTGCGCTCTTTATGTCACTGACCTATGTTATTCGTGCGCTCCTTATGTCACTGACATATGTTATTCGTGCGCTCCTTATGTCACTGACGTGTGTTATTCGTGCGCTCCTTATGTCACTGACATATGTTATTCGTGCGCTCCTTATGTCACTGACATATGTTATTCGTGCGCTCCTTATGTCACTGACGTGTGTTATTCGTGCGCTCCTTATGTTACTGACGTGTGTTTTTCATGTGCGCCTTATGTCACTGACGTGTGTTATTCATGTGCCCCTTATGTTACTGACGTGTGTTATTCATGCGCTCCTTATGTTACTGACGTTTGTTATTCATGTGCCCCTTATGTCACTGACATATGTTATTCGTGCGCTCCTTATGTCACTGACATGTGTTATTCGTGCGCTCCTTATGTCACTGACATGTGTTATTCGTGCGCTCCTTATGTTACTGACGTGTGTTTTTCATGTGCGCCTTATGTCACTGACGTGTGTTATTCATGTGCCCCTTATGTTACTGACATGTGTTATTCGTGCGCTCCTTATGTCACTGACATGTGTTTTTCGTGCGCTCCTTATGTCACAGACATGTGTTATTCATGTGCCCCTTATGTTACTGACATGTGTTATTCATGTGCCCCTTATGTCACTGACATGTGTTATTCATGTGCTCCTTATGTCACTGACATGTGTTATTCGTGCGCTCCTTATGTTACTGACGTCTGTAATTCGTGCGCTCCTTATGTTACTGACGTGTGTTATTCGTGCGCTCCTTATGTCACTGTAGTGTGTTATTCATGTGCCCCTTATGTTACTGACGTGTCTTATTCGTGCGCTCCTTATGTTACTGACGTGTGTTATTCGTGCGCTTCTTATGTCACTGACGTGTGTTATTCGTGCACTCCGTATGTCACTGACGTGTGTTATTCGTGCGCTCCTTATGTTACTGAAGCCTGTTTTTCCTGTGCTCGGCAGATAATGGCTATAGCTACATTGGAGCGCTGCTACAATAACCCCATGGTTTTCATGGAATCTGTCAGTATAAGCCGAGAGGAGACAGGGGAAATAATCAAATCTGCGTCGATTCTGGCAGAGATCGTGGGCAAGATTCAATACTATACAGAAAGAGTAAGGCCATATTTTTTTCCATATCTTATTCTTAAAGCCATTTACGTGTGGCGTTGGTCGACATGTCTGTCCACAGGCGGAGATCTATAGGGTTCGTTCCTGGAGATAATATTATGTGCTTTGTGCGATGATGTCGGCGGCGGCTAGCTGTTTTTTAAAAAAGCCATATAGGATTTCTAGATGAAATAAAGTCGATTCTATCGACTTGAAATCTACCTTTTGCGTTTATCTTTGTTGCATTTATTACATCGGTTAATTTTTCTTTTACGGCTTCTGCTTTTCATGATCCACGTGAACCTTACCGCGCAGACTCTTCATTTCCTTGTTATAGAGGCAAGGATCCAACATAAGGTGCTCCAGTATTATACATGTCTATGTTCTTGTCTACAAATACTTTTTTTGAAGGTGCTCCAGTATTATACATGTCTATGTTCTTTTCTACAAATACTTTTTTTTAGGTGCTCCAGTATTATACATGTCTATGTTCTTTTCTACAAATACTTTTTTTAGGTGCTCCAGTATTATACATGTCTATGTTCTTTTCTACAAATACTTTTTTTTTAGGTGCTCCAGTATTATACATGTCTATGTTCTTGTCTACAAATACTTTTTTTAGGTGCTCCAGTATTATACATGTCTATGTTCTTTTCTACAAATACTTTTTTTTAAGTGCTCCAGTATTATACATGTCTATGTTCTTTTCTACAAATAATTTCATAAGGTGCTCCAGTATTATACATGTCTATGTTCTTTTCTACAAATACTTTTTTTTAGGTGCTCCAGTATTATACATGTCTATGTTCTTGTCTACAAATACTTTTTTTAGGTGCTCCAGTATTATACATGTCTATGTTCTTTTCTACAAATACTTTTTTTAGGTGCTCCAGTATTATACATGTCTATGTTCTTTTCTACAAATAATTTCATAAGGTGCTCCAGTATTATACATGTCTATGTTCTTTTCTACAAATACTTTTTTAAGGTGCTCCAGTATTACCGATGTTTATGTTCTATTCTACAAATAATTACATAAGGTGCTCTAGTATAACATATGTTTATGTTCTATTCTACAAATAATTTCATAAGGTGCTCCATTCTTCCATATGTTTGTGTTTCTTTTTACCAATACCTTTACAGTTGCTGCATTCTAACATGTGTGTATGTTTTAGTTTTATGAATAATTTTTACAGGTACTCAAATGTTACATTTGACTAAACTCTTCTTCTTCTTCTTCTTCTTCTTCTTCTTCTTCTTCTTCTTCTTCTTCTTCTTCTTCTTCTTCTTCTTCTTCTTCTTCTTCTTCTTCTTCTTCTTCTTCTTCTTCTTCTTCTTCTTCTTCTTCTTCTTCTTCTTCTTCTTCTTCTTCTTCTTCTTCTTCTTCTTCTTCTTCTTCTTCTTCTTCTTCTTCTTCTTCTTCTTCTTCTTCTTCTTCTTCTTCTTCTTCTTCTTCTTCTTCTTCTTCTTCTTCTTCTTCTTCTTCTTCTCTTCTTCTTCTTCTTCTTCTTCTTCTTCTTCTTCTTCTTCTTCTTCTTCTTCTTCTTCTTCTTCTTCTTCTTCTTCTTCTTCTTCTTCTTCTTCTTCTTCTTCTTCTTCTTCTTCTTCTTCTTCTTGTGATTATGATTATTATTATTATTATTATTATTATTATTCTCCAGCATTTTGAGCTCTTGAGATGAATTGCTACAGATATCACCCGTCTCTATTCTTCTCTCTGGTTGCCCTTATTATTCCAGTTGGTGGTGACAAAACGTCTTTGTAGGTCTGCCTGGATGTTATATCACCAACGTCTTCTTGGTTTGCCTCGTGGTCTACGATCATTCAGAGCCCTCTTGTGTGCACAGTTATGGCTTTTCTGACATCTACCATTCTGTCTCAGTCATTTCAGCTCATTAACCCTCATGATGCCAGTAATCAATGGTGACCTAAACAGATTATTGCTTATTCTTGGCTACAAATAATTTCATAACTACTCCAGTTATTTAAATGTTCTGTTTTCTATTCCGCAGATACAAGTAAAAGCATGCGGCATCAAAGAAATTCCCCAGAACACATTAAACGTATGTGGCCAGATTCTACAAGAGATCGAACTACTCAAATTTAACACGAGACGTGTACATAAAAACTGTGTTAAATAGACAGACCAGGGTTTACAAAACTAGAAATGCGTTTGATTAAAAATTCCATATTTAGTTGAAGCAGACCAATCAAACAATAAATCAAATAGCGTCTCCACAATGAAGATTGACTGCAACTGATCTCCATCAAGAAGTTGTGTCCTGTCTTAGACTGTTGTTCGTCCGTATGTTATTGTTGTTTTTCTCCATCTTAAATCGCTCTCAGCCTTTGGCTCACTTGCCATCACCACTACGGTTTATTGTAGTTAGAAATGTAGACATTGCAGTGCTTGTACTGAATATTTTGACGCTTTTGATAATGTTTGTTATTTGACGTGTGAATGAAATGATGTAAGAATGGAGGGAGACCTCGAAGGGCATAATGTTAGACGGGCCTGCGTGCCCAATTCTGAACCTTTTAAAAATAAAGTTTGTTCTTCGTATGTTCTTCTCCCCCTCCCCCTTTCCAAGTTGGGTTTTTATAGTTTTTGTGTCTGGCAACACCGCTTTTGAAATGAAATTCTTGCAGTCTTGTCAAGGTTGCCAATTAACCGCCGTCTTATGTATCTCTACTCGTCCTATATCAATGCAAACATCAGCCCGATACATATCATGTCCTGAGTAACATTTCTAAGTGTTTCGCTTGAATGCACAAACCACATTTCCAATACCAGCCCCCCCCCCTTTTTTTTCCCCAACCACTTGTCAGCGTACTTTCCTTGTCTCATTCATCCCCTTCTTCGTTTGCCCCTTAAAAATACGATGGCAAGTTGTGGTTTACAGATAGGATACAATATCTACGCCCCTTCCGATACAACATATCTGATTTGAGCTAACCCTAGTTAGTCGCTTTTATATGTTTGTTAACAGGCAGCGTCTCCAAACTTTGCGTTGATTTCGACAACGATATTGAATGTTGATTGTTCAGTTAAAAAAAAATGTTTAAAATCGAAAAGATCGATTTCATTGCAACGGGTTTTATCTTATAGGGCTAGGTCTTTCTAGCTAAGAGCATCGCACAAAGCACGAACTCCAGGATCTGCGCACTCGTGAATTGAATGACGCAGCCATGAGACGAACCCGCGACCTTCAGGACGCGAGGTAAACGTCTTGACCACTGAGCCACGGAGACCCCCTGACAATTCAGTAAACAATAGCAAACTACTGAATTTAAATTGGCATAGTAATATTTACAAACAGTCAACTAAAACTGGGGTTCGGTTGCTATTGTTTTATAAAAGATACACCGTTAACTTTAGAAAGTAAGTAAAAAAGGGACTCTGTCTCCCCACCTACAGGCGTATTGGGCATATAGGGTTAGGCTAGGCTTATATTATTATAGACCATCCGCCATTGGATGGGTGACGTGGGACAACATCATGCTGGTGATCGTGCTTGACTTGACACCCATTTAAGACTGGGTTGGTCCAAAGCCATTATAATTTTGTTCAAAGCCTCCCGGTTAGAATTAAACCCAAGATCCTCTTGCAGGCAGGCAAACGCCTATCCAACAGATGACCAACATTTCCCTTGACGTTGTCAGAGATGGTATATGGTAAATCAATTTCACTGTCTTGGTACGATGCCCCACTTTTGGGGAATAAAGAATGTACTCTTCTAAAGCGTGTCTGCATATTAGCAATATAAACATATGCATTTTTATAGAAACTTAACACTCATCATTCGTAACCTTTTAAACATATAGCGCGTTCGCTCGTTCTGTCGAGAAAGGCGAGCAATAGGGGGTTTGGTTCCCAGCATGAGTTCTGGGATCCTACTTAAATGGGGTGGGGGAGCACAGGTAGAAGAGTCTGGGAAAGTATGAATGAAAGGTCAGGTAGTGTGTAGGTGGGCCAGAAAACGTGGACAGGACCTGGAAATCAATTCCCATGTTTGTCAGTTCCCTGATAATCTCCCTACGGACCGCGCATATACACACTAGCTCACTTCTGATTGGTCCACCTTCAGTCACATGACCTTCGCACACTGCTACGGGGGTGTTCGGCAATGCTATTGATATCGCGTGTTGTATATTTCAGCACGCCACCGCTTTTAACACTACAAAAACATTTAGAAACTGGATCTAACACACAATTACCCTAGAGAGTGCTGCAACCTATTTCACAGGCATTCTCTTTTTATCGGAAGAAAAACGTAAATGCAAGACAAGCTAGAAAGGAAACAACATAGCAGCAACACTTAACCCACCAGACAACAGACCAGTCTAAAAATGTATAAATAGAACGTGACCTACTTTAATTGGGGAGATTATCGTGGATCTGACCCCCATGTGCAGAGATGCTTGAGGATTAGTTAGATTGCCTATTTCCCACTCAATGAAAAATCCACAACTCACGGGAGATGAACTGAGAATAAAACAATGACACGCGTGTATTCTGATGTTGTGAAAAGTTCCCCTTATTCTATTTACTCACGTTGCTGTGAACATGTAGATTTTGACTTAAATCGGTATGTATATATTGTGACACAGCTGCCTCTTTTACTGTCTATGATAAACTACCCAGGTTCTATTTTATTTGTCACAAGGGTGGCTGGTGATGTTTATAGACGAGGAGAAAGATGGTCGTGTCGTTAGTGGTGATGATGATGATGTCTTGCTCGCTGCATGCTTCTCACGTGACTCTGCTTGTATAATAAGGTGTCTGGAAACAACTATTCTTGTCTATACTTTATTTGAACAAAGAAGACACAAACAATAGACTGCACAATTTATTGCCTGGCATATTTCGCTGTATCTCGTCAGGTGCATACTACAGTAACAAGTGAATAAATGAAGCAAATAGCTAAATCCTAAAAACTGAAACACAAATTCGAGTACATTCTACACTGTCTGTTTCACCAAGGTAACCTTAAGGAAACTACCAT